CATCTGGTGGACGGCTGGCAGCACGACCAAGCGCATCCATGACCGCGATGTTGCGGCAGAATTTACGGCCACGGATGAAGCCCTGCTGCATATCATGGGCATGTTCCCCAACTGGGCGCGCATCTGCTCATTGGACGCGGCTGCGAAGAGCGCGCTGTCGGCGTTCTTCCGCGGGGGCCCTGGCGAAGACGGCGGCGTCGTCGTCCTCGGCGCCCTCCGGGGCGAAGGAGAAGGCGGAGTCGTCGAAGCCTGCCGGCGCCCAACCCGATTCCAGCATGTCTCAGATCAGATCATCAAGGATGTCCAAGGCGCTGGATGCAGACAACCACGCGCGGCATGGAAGCCGATCGGGTCCTGGAGCAGAGGCCCGCGCGCGTTGAGCTGCCCGTCGGAGCGCCGCGGGAGTCGGTGGGGAGAGTTGCGGGGGTCGCGGTGGACGTGGTGCGCGTTGCTGCACAAACGCATTCACGGCGTGGCGGTCGACGCCCTCGTCGGCGAAGATGGGGGGCCAGTGGGCCTGCAGCGCCTGGGCCATGTCGCGAGGAGTCTTCGCAATTGTCTGCTGGTCAGGGATGCGGATGCCGACCAAGCGGGCGACCCTGGCAAAACGGGGCCCAAGCACGAGCGCGGCGATGTGCTGTGCGAGCAACTTGTTGGCGAGCAGCTTCCAGCTCACGACCTCCCCGTGCCGCTCGCTGGACCGCAGATGCTGCCTGTCGCTGCTGCAAGAGGTCGTGGTCGTGGTGGGCCTTCTGCGAGAGCTCCGCGAACTCCGCCTCGTCCGTAAGTTGCGCGCGGTCATTCGCCAGTTGGGGCAGGTGGCAAGCGTGGGGTCCATCGCGGGGGGGGCGGCGGCAAGGGCAGTGCCCGGGCGCCAGACCGCCCTCGAAATCGAGCGGCGCAACAGGAGTCGCGCCTCGCAGGGGGCTTGCCCGCCGTGGCCACCAGGAAGCTGTGGGCGATGGGTCCTCGCAAGGCGCGCAGCCTCGACCGCGTTTGCTTTGGTCGCGCGCCGTGCTGGGGTCGGAGCGGGGGCCGGGCCCCAGGCGCGATCAGTCAGTGGGTTTTCGAACTTGGCGCGCATGGGGAGCGCGAAGGGGAACTCTGGGATCAGCTGCGCGCGCCCCCTTCGAGGGGCCGCGACGCCCGCGCGCAGCGCCTGGGCGGCGCGGCCACTGAGTCGACGGTCAATGAGAGCAGCCGCAGCCGCATGCTGCTGGATGCGAATATGGAGTAAGTTGGGGGATGCATAAGTAGGGGGGCTGCCGGGGGCGCGGTCGACGCGCGTCTTGGCGGCAGCAACGGGGTCGCATCGCGTCGGTTCGCAAGATGGAATCTCAGACATTCGAGAATAGTGTCGCCGCCAGCTGGACAGCTGAAATGGATGTACACAGGGCGTCGGGAATTTAAGGGGGCATGGGCGGTGAACCTGAACGGCGGGCTCGTCGTGGATGTTGAAGTCACCAAGAACTGACAAAGATCCGGTCCATGGGGCGCTGCTGCGCCCACCGTTGACAAGCCTTCCAATAGTGGAAGCTAACCTTGCGTTCGGCAGCGGGGGCGTCATGGGCGTGGATATTCAGGATGATCACGAGACAGTCTGGGCCCTGGAAACATTCGAGAGAATGTGCTCTGCCAGCCGCCAGGACGCGATGAGAGACAGTAATCCGCGCGGGAGACAACGGTGGCATTGCAACGGCCGACGGCCACGTAGGTTCTGAGGTGGTCCAGGGGGCCGCGCCAGATGGCGGCGCCGCAGGCGGTGAGGGGGCTAGCCTTCGCGTGGCCCATGAAGAAATAGGGGCCGCAGCCGCGGGCGTCGATGCCGCGGGGCTAGATGGAGAAGGGCCGCCAACTGACGCGGAAGGCAGCGATCTTTGGGCGTTGACATGTTGCTGGCCTGCCCCCGAGCCATGTCCCGCATTGCGCCTGTCGCGAGTCGCGAGTGGGCGCGCTGGGCGCAGCTGTCGCCTGCGCGGGTGAGCCAGCCAGCAGACAGCATCGTAGAAGAAAGGTTTCTCCACTCCCTCGAAGGCGGCCTGGTCGATCTTGTAGTCAAGGTGCTCGGGCCACCGAAGGAAGTCGCATTTCGCGGAGTGGCCGCGCCTGCGCCTGTAGATCGCGACGCAGGACCTGACGAGCCAGAAGGTCGACGAGAAGATGCAGAAGTTGGTCTGCTTCGCCTGGCCGCCACGTCGGCGGAGGGCACTGCGTTGGCGGAGGGGGCCTCGCCGTGCCCGGCGCGAACGACCGCGAAGACCGCGCGGCGGCACTGGCCATGCTTGGCGGAAGACCAGGCGCGGCACCACTTGCGTCGGATGCCACTGCGCTAAGCGCCTGAGTTCGTGAGGCAGACTGAGCAGAGAGCTGCGTCATCGAGGCGTCTTCAACGCGAAGACGACTGCGTCGCCTCTAGATGCCCCTTTTCAGGGACGGGGGGAGGGCGAGATCGCGAGGGCGACGTGATCCTCACCATCTTCGTAGCCGTTCGTAAATTTGGCGACGGTGACCCAGTTCGCGCTGGCGCTGGGGGTTGTCGGCGACCTCGCCGCGGGCGAAGACTGCGACGTGCCATCCCGCAACTGTCCTCCGCGAAAGGCTGCGAAGCAGCAGAGTGAATACCATTATTCCCAAGAGCAAACAACGATTCAAACCGATGACGTTGCAAGTGCGCCAGGACAAAGGGAATGCACCGATCAAACCAATGCGAGAAGTCGACCACCTGAGCGGCATGGACCAGGAAGCCGGGGCGCCAGTGCTCAGGGATGAGGCCTGCAACGTGGCGCAGCTGCGCAGCCGGCTCTGGGGTAACATGGCTTTCGTGAGGAATATGCCGGTGGTGTCGGCGCTGAAATAGCGCTGGCCAGCAGGTCACATCCAATGGGGAGTTGCTGTGAAGAAATGGCCCGATGCCATCGTCGCCATACAGAGCCCTGGAGTCGACGCCATGGGCGGGGTCGAGAAGGGCGTCGGGTCATTGGTTGGACGAGACGTCGGTGGTTGAGGTTGAATCGGACGGAGAGCTTGAAGAGGACGTGGAACTCCGCGCCGAACCAGGTGGCGTGCCAGACGCGGAGTGGAGCTGATGCAGATCAATGAAGCCCTTGTCCGAGTTCTTGGGGGCGAGAAAAGCCGCGCCACAAATGCCTGGATCGCCACTGTCATTATGTATAATGCTGTAGTGGGCGGACAGCGCTTGCAAGGCACGGCGCAGCCTCGGTAGGTCGCCATGAACTTCTTGGAGACAAATGTACTTTTGACGCAGAAGGGGAAATAGAGCAGAAAACTTGGCCGTGCGTCGGCGAAGACTCACCATGAGCACACCACGTGCGCTCCACGTTGCCAGCCGCAGCGCCAAGGAGCCATGATTGCGCTGAACATGACCCCCATGAGATGCATCGATCCTCCGAGAAGAAGTCGTGGCAGGACTTGTCGATGGCTGCTGTGTCCGCTCGGATATCACGCGCGAGATGAAGGTTCCAGACCAGCTCAGTGTCGGCGCTGGCAGTAGTTACCACCTCCAGCCGCTCAAGTGGGACACCGTCACTGGTGATGCTGCCCGTCTGCTTGTACGAGCGGAGGTTGCGTTGGGCAGGGTGGCGGAGAGGAGCCGATGAAGACGCCTCGTCTGAATCTCACGACGAATATGTCGAGGATTGCGATCTGCGCTGACATAGAGCTGGAGTGTTTGCCCAGTGACCGCCTGCGACTGGAACAACCGCCAAGCACCGCCCTGGACTCGAAGACCCCGTGCAAGGTCCGCGGCACGTGGGGCGGTAAGGGCTGGGCCGCCGAGCAGCCGAACGATGAACCAAATGGCGGGGGCGTCGCCCACCAGCGCGGCATTGGACCACTCCACACCCGATTCAGTAAACCAGGCAGCAAGTCCCTGCTGAACTTAGGCTGGAGCAGCAAGCTCGGCGCAGCCAACCGTGAGGACCGCGGGGTCGGGCACTCCGTCGAAGTCCGCCTCCGCCACCACGCGAGTGATGGGTATTTGTGCTTACGCGAGAGCGAGGGCTTCATGTATGTCGGCAACGGCCTGCTTCGTCTCGTCCTGAGCCCTCTCGGATGCTGCGATGCGTTGCCGAAGGGATGCGAACTCTCCCGCAGTGCCGTCGATGCGCCTGGACAGGAGCGTCGGGAGTCGTGGATGGCCTTGGCAACGGCACGAGCCATGTCTGCCTTGAACGTGGCGAGCGTGGTGTCCACATGCGCGGTGAGCTGGTCCTGTAGGGCTTTCGTGAGCGCCTCGAGACCTCAAGCAGCAGCAGAGGAAGCCGCCGATCCAGCCGCCGCGGCGCCAGGAGGAAACTGGCCTTCATCAGGTGGTCGGTCAGCACGACTTCCTTGCCAAGGATCGGCCCGAGCCAGCGGATCCTCCTGTCGTTTTTGTGAAAGGAAGGTAGCTGCAACATCATGGGCGGCAACAAGAGAATCTTGCGAAGGAAGCGGAAGAGGGGCAGTGGCACCACTAGGTCGCGGAGGGGGTCCTCCAGGGCGCCCGGCGCCGCCTCGCCGTTCTTCACGCGGTTGCTGCGGAGGTCGTTGCTGTCGGCGGTCGCGGTCGTAATATTGAAGGTGTCGGCGATGGCGTCGTCGTGCAGGCTCTTCCCGAGGAGACCCATCGGCACCACCGCCCATGCTGGCGCTGCGCCGCGCGCCGTCCGTGTCGGAGGACTCCATGATCCCGCAAGCAGCGAGCAGCAGTGGCAGCACAGCACCGCTAGGCACAGGAGGCAGCCGAGACCTCGCAGGGCGAGGGGAACACACACGTAGGTCCTGAAGGGACAGAAACTGGGTGGGAGCCTACCCCGCTGAGGCAGTTCAAAGGTAACCATCTTGGCCTTGAGCCAACATGGCTACGGTTGAGGAGGAGGGGGAGGAAGAAAAGGAGGAGGAGGAGGAGCGGAAAGAGTAAGAGGCGGCGGCCGAGGAAGAGGAAGAGGACGGAGAGGAGGAGACCTGATGCACGAATGAGGGGATGCTAAGGCAGGAACGCGTCGTCACCCCAAACCGAGCTGATGTTGCCATCAACGAGCAACGACGTTTCCATCGAGAAGCCGGGGTGCGCGAGACTCGAGGGGGTGCTCACGATCGCCATCGACGTGTCGATCTTGTGGTGGTTGTTCGTGATCACGAGCTCGGCGATCTCCACGACGTGCCCTTTACCGCGGACCTGGAGAGGCTCGAACTGGTAGTACGAGAATGCCGTGTCCTCGGGCTCCTCCACTCGCTGCTTGTGCTCGTGCGGCGCCACGTACACCCACCCCCCTGGCGGAGCAGCCGCAGGCGCCGGGCCTTCAGAAGAAGAAAGACGTGTGAGCGACGAAAACAAACGGGTCTTACGCGAGATGGTATAGCGACCTTACGCAGTGGCTTACGCGGGCCGCCAGCGCGGCACGCTACATGGAGAGGAGGGCGCTTACGCGCGACCTTACCCGGGCAGCTCACGCGCCAATGTCTGTGAAGACGACCCCGATGCATTCTGTCATTCATGTGTAAACATAAGCTGTCGGAGGTCCGCGCGGATTTCATGGATGGGCACTGGACCCTCCTCCCTGGTGCGCGGAGCGGGCGAGGGGCGGTGCCGGAGACGCCGCCGTGGAGTGATGTTGTAAAGCCACTGTCGACCAAACCAGTAACAGCACCAATCACCCACTAGGCCCTAGGCTTGCCGCGCCTCCTTCTCTGCTATCCAGACTCTGAGCGCCGCCAAGCCTTCCAGCGGAGTTCGCCGAGGGGGAGTCGGCGCCGACCCAAGAATTCCGCGCGGACATCGGACAGTTTTCTGTTTATGCGTGTTACTCTTCTTCGAGGCCTGCCCCCGACCAGACCCAGCGCATGACAGGGTGCGCGGGCTCTGGCGGCACGGTAGGCCGTGGCAGTGTGCACTCCTCGCTGGTCCACATGTCCACCCCGTCGAGCTCCGCGCAGTCGGTGCTTTTCCCCACGTAGTTGATGCTCGCCTTGGTGCAGAGGTCCATTCCCTCCTCCTTGCAGGCAACCTTCCCGTCCGCCCAGCTCAGGTTGGACCGGCAGCCCGGGCGACTGGTTGTGCGAGTGAAGGCACTGCAACACGTCAGGCCCCCGCTTCCCGAGTCGGGCAAGCACTTGCTGGAGTTAGACCCCCGCTGGACCACAATATGGCCAATGCCAGGACTGTCCACGCTGGCGTTGATCGGTGCAGGCATCGGAGCGGAAGTCGGGCCAATCACACCTGTGATGCCGGTGAAAGTAACAAGGATGTCGCCTGTGGAGGCGAGGTCGGCCGTTTTGCTCTGCTTAAGCAAGCCCGCCACGGTGTCTGCCACGTGGCTGGCGGCCAGCGTAGAGGCTAACGCACCTGGATCGGCGTCGCTCAGAACCCGCACGGTGAAATCTACGATCAAGCTGCCCTGGGAGAGAATCAGGTCGATATCGTTGGCACTCACGCTACTTCCAGCCTCCTCCGCGATACCCTGCTTCACGGCGCCCTCGAAATTTGCAAGGAGCGTCTGGTTGCTGACAAGGCCTGTGTAGTCAATGCCAGACATGCTCAGGGAGCCGGACACCGCCGGTGCGGTCGTCGGTGCAGCCGTCGGTGCGGGCGTCGGTACGGGCGTCGGTGCGGGCGTCGGTGCGGGCGTCGGTGCGGGCGTCGGTGCGGGCGTCGGTGCGGGCGTCGGTGCGGGCGTCGGTGCGGGCGTCGGTGCGGGCGTCGGTGCGGGCGTCGGTGCGGGCGTCGGGGCGGGCGTCGGAGCGGGCGTCGGGGCGGGCGTCGGTGCGGCCGTTGGACCAGGTCCTGCAAGAGCACCAGAGCAATATTGGCTACGCAATGCCGTTCAAACTACGTTCGGGGATTGCGCGTGCAATGATTATTGTGAGTTCGTTGGCTCACCATCGTCTTTCATAAGCGCATGGTGACTACCTCAAAGCATGGTCCTGGTAGAACGGTATGGAGGCGCGCTGTGTGCAGGCCAGGCCAATGCACACATACTTTACGAAGATTAAGAGGCAGGTCTTTTCATACCCCAGTTGCCTATGACGCAGCTTTGGCGCGACCTTGTGGCGCATATGAGGTAGTCGTGGTCCGCGGGGCCACGGGTTAACTTTAGGGAATCCGCCTGCAACGAAGAATTGCGGTGCGTACGCTGAGGCTGGCTGTGGCACAAATGTTGGCCCACCGCTCTGCGAATGGTCTGGAGCTTTATCGTAAAACGGGAGCGCCTGTAGGAGTTACAGTGTTGTCCCGAATTGGAGATGCTCAAACCGAAACGAGGGCCCGCTGTTGGAGCCAATTTTGGCTAATTAGAAATATGCGTCTCTGCCCAACCAATAATCGACGCCACCACCAGGTCCCCACGAGCCCCGTGCCCAAGGCCCTCACGGGCCACTGGTCCATGCCGAGGCGGCTGCCCCCGCCCCCTGGGCCAACCCACCAGGACCCCGCGCCATCGCAGGTCCTTGCGACCGTGCACCGGGACCTGCCGAATAATGAATACAATCGCTCGACAGCTCGCCGCTTGGGCCACATCGCAAGCACCAATGGCGAGCATACATCGGGCGGAGCCTTATAAAACTTGCCAGGGGTGTGCGCCACCCATGTGGCGCGCCATGTGTTGCGCGATCCGTCGGTTGCGCCAGAGGTTGCGTCATCCCTGTCTTACGCCATGGGTTGCGCCATGAATGGGTTTTTGGTTTATGGGTTGCGCCGTCCACGGGCTCCGCCATGGGTTGCGCCACCCATGGGCTGAACCAGGCTCCATCTATTGATTACGCCAGAGGTTGCGTACTCTGCGGCCGCGAATGAAACTGCCTGCTTCTGCGCTTTTGGCGGCAGATGATACAACGGCCTGTGGAGGCTGCGCTGTCGGTTGCCGATTCGGCGGCCGACTACTATGATAATAATGACATGCGCTCGCCCCGACGCAGTGAACATGCGCATGACTTTACGTGGATCCCAGCTGGCATTGATCCCTCGCTCTGACATGCATATCCGCCGGTCCTCCTTGTGGTGGCCACCAGGCTGCGCGACTGACGTTTCAGCATCTGCACACACCCGCGTACATTAGCTCTGATCTATACAGTTCGGCACACGGCACAATGTCTGTATTGGCCAAGCGGTGCTGGCTTTAATCGTAATTGGATGGGTCTGGCGAGATTTCGCCTAGTGCCCACCCATGGGCGCCTTGTGCGCTGGGTGGGTGTGGTGAGACGTTTCGCCTGATGTTCGCATGTGGCCGCCTCGTGGGCTCGGTGGGTGTGGCGAAGATTCGCCTGGTGCCCACCCGTGGTCAGCCGTGGGCGACTCGTGCGCTGGGTGAATGCGGCGAGGTCCGTGGCCGACCGTATGCGCCTCGTGGGCGCCTCGCATGATGGGTGGTGGGTGCGGCGAGGTTTCGCCTGTTGCCCGCCCGTGCCCGCCTGTGGGCGTTTCGTGCGCGGGGGGGCCGCAAAACTTGCACCACAGAGCTTGCATCATAGAGATTGCAACAAGTAGCTTTTCCACGTAGCCTTCACTATCTATATATATATATACACATTATATTTCATATATATATATATATACACATCTATAATCCTCTTCCTATATTTGTGCAAGCCGGGCCAGAATGGGACCCCCCCACACAAATCCCCAAGATCCAGGGTTTCAGAGTTTCAGGGCCCCCTGGACACCATTGCCGAAGGTCCCCCGGTTCACCCCAGACCTCCCATGGCGCTCAGCTGGATCTTGCCAAAAGACCCCGGACGATCAGAGCGGTGATCAGAAAGGCCGAAGACAGACCCAAGACAGCACAAGAGCGCTCCAGAAAGGACCCAGATGGCCTCCAGAGGCCCCGGCGCAGGAGGCCCTCAACAGGACTCCCAGAACGCAGAAGTCGTTTCACTTCCTTAGGGACGCGTACATTTTCAACATATTCGCTGTTCGGGTCTTAGCAGCGTTCAAAACAGCCAAAAAGGCCGCTGGTATAGTATCGCCCCAAGACGGCCCAAGAGAGCCTCTAGACGGCCTGGATGGCCCCAGGACTGTCCAAAGAAACCCCAAACGAGCCAAAAAGAAAACCAACAGGCCCCCACAGGGCCCCCAAGAGAAGCCCAAGAAGGCCATGGGAGGTCCCCGAAAAAGGCCATGGGAGGCCATCAGGAGGGCCCACGCAGCCCCTGCAAGGTCCTTAGAGTGCCCAAGCTCCCCAACACGGCCCAAATGGCCCTGGGACGGCTCGAGAAGGCCCTGGGCCCGCCCGCCAGGGCTCCAACAATGCACACACGGCGTGTTCCACCAAACTGACCCGAACCCTGGGTTCGCAACCACATTTCCCTGAAATCGGTTGCGAACCCGGGATCCGGTGCACTCCCCAATAATTATTGATTTTCGCGTGCCCCATTGCGACCCGGTGCAACATGACATCCTCTGTTTGGCATTGCTTTATGCTTTGCGGCATTGCTTGACATTGCGTCGGTTCGCTTGGCATCTATTCGGATGGCTTGCCATTACTTCGCGTTGCGCACCAGGGCGGCACCTGAGCCACGAGCCTGCCAATGTGCGGGCCTACGAAGGATTTTTGTCGTCATTCACTGCCAGACGTGTCTGCAAGCGTGCACGTACACATGAACCCCCACGACGGCGCCATCTCTTTCCCTCCTCCTGCTCCTCCTCTGGGTCCTCTTCTTCTTCTTCCTCCTCCTCCTCCTCCTCCTCCTCCTCCTCCTCCTCCTACTCCTACTCCTCTGTCTGCCGCTCCACCACTCATCCTCCCCCACATCCGCTTCCCTCTCCTCGCTCCCCGAGATCCCACCCCTCCTATCCTTCGCCCTTCAACCGGCGCCTTCGGGGAGACTCCGAGGCAATTTTTTAGAGCGGGCCGGGAGTTCGCCTGGGACTTCCTCACCATTTATGACCCGGAAGCTAGACAACTGACAATCGTTTCACAAATGGAGGACGGGCCATTTTCAAAATGTGGTTTTCGCCTGAGCGCCGTGCACATTCGTTATTAGAATTTGCAAGAGCTTCACGGAATGAGGGCGACCCGTTTTCAAAATGTGGTTCTCGCCTTAGCGCCGCTTGCATTATTTGTTTTCCTTTTTTTGCGCAAAATTGCAAGAACTTCACGGATTGAGGGCGATTCCTTTTCAAAATGTGTTCCTCGCCTTAGCGCCGCGCACATTCGTTTTTTGTATTGGCAAGAATTTCACGGATTCTCATGGCCAGCGAACCAGAATAATTGTTGTGGAAGGATTCAGGATTATGAGGGTGCAACAGCTACGTTGATTCGCGGTGTTGAAGTCCTAGGAAAAGCGTTCTGGCACGAGTCAGGATCGTCAAGACGCAACAGTCAGGTTGCCCCGTGGGGTTGGAACCCGAGAACAATGTGTTGGCATGCTTCAGGGTCTGCAAACGGTTGTCTTCCAACGAGGCAATTCCTCCCTCAGTGGAAATGAACCGTTGTAGGGGCCCATGAAGAGCGAGCTTGGTGGGAGGGTTGATTCCGACATCGTTGATGACTCTTGGATTTACACTGATCCTCCTCCTCCTCCTCTTCCTCTTTCTGCCGCTCCACCACTCGTCCTCCCCCACATCCGCTTCCCTCTCCTCACTCCCCGAATTATCCTCCCTCCTATCCTTCGTCCTCCACCCGCCGTTTTTCGGGAACCCCTGGACGCCCGGAAGGGCCAGGGACCTCCCGAACTTTGGAAGACTTCCTTCAAACTGCTGCAGAGAAGGGGCCAAATTTCCAAGGCAACTCGGGATGGCGCGAACGACCAACACATGCAAAACTTCAAGGACCAGGGTACATGGCGCGAAGCGCCAATGCACTCATGTATATATGTATGAAAGTGTGTACAGACATACATATACATGTATATGTATATACATATGTGTGTTTGTGTGCATGTGTGTGTTTGTGTGTGCGTGTGGGTGTGCGTGTGCGTGTGCGTGTGAGTGTGCGTGTGCGTGTGCCTGTGCGTGTGCGTGTGCGTGTGCCTGTGGGTGTGCGTGTGCGTGTGCGTGTGCGTGTGTGTGTGCGCGTGTGTGTGTGTGTGTGCGTTTGTGTGAGTTTGTGTGTGTCTTAGCCAGCGCGGACCCCCAAACAGTGGGGTTTCTAGCAACATGCACGGTGCTAACTCTGTGAAGCAATCGTAATGGTGCAATGCATGTGGAGGTGGGGCGACGAGCGTTATGCAATCGACGTGGTGCAATTTATGGTGTGCAATCTAGGTTGTGCAAACTAGGTGATGTGATATATGCGATGCAATCTACGATGTGCATAATAGGTTGTGCAATCTACGTGGTGCAACATGCGTGGTGCAATTCGCCCTGCCGAAATTGAACATGTCAACTCCACTGTTCGCGCAATCATCCCACCCACCCACCCGCAACTTGGTCTGCAAAACCCATACGGCGGCGATTGCCATGAGGGCTTAGTGTTGGCTGGTGCACCTCTGCGGCCACGCTAGCCCGCGCAGGCTCGCGCGCGCAGCGGCCAGCTAGTTTGGCGCGACTGACGGGGCCGCGGTGGCGCTGAGTGATGGACATTTCCAAACGGGCATTTCAGAGCGTGTCGGCGACTTGGGCGGGCGCGGTATCATGGCAACGCCGACAATGGTAGACACGATGATGAAAGTAACGACACTCGTGGCGATCGTGACAACGACGACGGAAAAGGGCAAGTGATGGCGCCGGTGCTGATCACGCCGACGACGACGGCGTCCTCGCGTCGGTGATGACGGTTCTGGAAGGCGTTCGACATGCGCGCGCGGCCGACGCGCGAGAGTGGCCTGCACTGCGTTTTGACACGAATCGTGTCCCCCCCCAGCACGCGCGCAAGGGCGTCCGAATGATGTCGACATGCGGCGCGCGAGGCCCGTTTGGCTGAATGCAATAAACATGTCGAATCACATATGGCTTTCTCGAGATTGCAAAGGGTTCTTGCGACAGCACGCGCGCAAGGGCGTTCGAGCGATATCGACATGCGCGCGAGAGGCCCGCTTGGTAGCATGTGACGAACTTGTTCAACAATTGCCCTCTGAAGTCGCAAGAGCCCCACCGCAGGCTTTTTTTGGTTTTGTGAAGTCCTGTACTTGCATATGTATTCGGGACACTCGATTTAAAAATCCGTACGAAACCTAAGGTTTCCAAACGGATTTCGGCATGCGCGCGCGACGACGCGCGCGTGCGCATGTTGTCCAATGTTCTGTAAAAAAGGAATCCTAAACACTGATGGTTTGTGAGAAACGAACGCGCGCGCAAAATTTTCTGCAAAGGGTGGGGGAGGGGATGCTGGTTTACCTGGGATGGTACGAGCGCGTATTTGGAACTGACGATGGGGCAGAATCCTTCGTAAATTGCCATATGAAAAAAAGGAGGGCCGCTAATTTCGGGAAAGGGGGATATATCCGAATATTCTGTCTTAGAGAAGAGAATCACCTTTACGACCACCTTTCGGGTGATGAAGAGGTTGGAGGGTGCGGGGCAAAAAACCAACTGCTGGCAAATGCGATGGGTGTGATGATGGCGACGCTGGCGACGCGCCCTCGAGTTAGCCACTACGCGTGATGACAATGTTGCGTTGCGATGTCATGTCACCATCGCCCCCGCCTTCGATCTCACTCGATCGACTCCAGTGTCGACCTCGCGGCCATTCTGAATACCAATAGATTCAGCGATCGGTCCCACGAACGCTCCCGCTCGCGATCTCACGATGGATTCCTCTATCGTTCTCACACTCGATCTCACTATCGATCCCGCAGCCGATATCATAACACATTGCACTGTCGCTCTCAATTTTGATTTCACTATTCATCACATTCTAGCGATCTAATTATCGACATCACTGTCGACTTTACTATCGGCGCCTTGGCGAAACACCCGCGGCCACCGCCCGCCCGCCGCCGACGGAACACCGACGGGACATCAACAGGGCACCAACGGGACAGCACGGCGGGACACCCTGGGCCACCGCGCGCCCACTAGGAGCGGAGGGGCGGCCCACTGCATCCGAATCGCCCTAGCGACGGCGGGTTCAATCCTCTCGCGCGCCCACGCAGCCTCGCCTCGCCCGCGAGCGCGACGCGAACGCGAAACCGAAACCAAGTTCCTGGTGGGGGGCTCTCAGTTCCGCTGCAATCTCACCCCCCAACCTCCGATGTGGGGCAATCTATGTGGTGGTGCAACTCACTTGTGGAATTCGCAGCTGTCAATTCCACTGTTCGCGCCATCATCCCACCCACCCACCCGCAATCTGGTTTCCAAAACGAATGCGCCGGCGATTGCCATGGATGCTTGGTGTTGACTGGTGCATCTCTGCGGCCGCGCTAGTCTGCACATGCTCGCGCGCGCAGCGGCCAGCTAGTTTGGCGCGGCCGACGCGGCCGCGGTGGCACTGACCTCTGGGCACCGCCCAGCGGGCACTTCAATGCGAATCGGCCGCTTGAGCGGGCGCGGTATCATGGCAACGTCGACAACGGAAGACACGATGATGAGAGTAGCGACGCTGGTGGCGATATTGGCAACGGCAACGGCACGGCCAGTGACGGCGCCGATGCTGATCACGCCGACGACGATGACGGCGTCCTCGCGTTGGTGATGGAGGTTCTGGAAGGAGTTCGACATGCGCGCGCGGCCGACGCGCGAGAGTGGCCCGCATTATTTGATTTGACACGGATCGTGCCCCCCAGCACGCGCACAAGGGCGTCCGAATGATGTCGACATGCGGCGCGAAAGGCCCGTTTGGCAAAATGCAATGGACATTGTGAAGCACTCATGGTTTCCCAGAGAAGTCTCAGAAGCGCGAGCGCAGTTTGTTTGAAAACTGGCGTTGCAAAAAACATGTGTTTGTTATGCGTTTTCGGAGTATTCGATTTTGAATGCATTACGAAATTAATGGTTGTTTTGCAGGATTTGGGCATGCGCGCGCGACGACGCGCAGGCGCGCACCTCGCCCCATCTGTTGCAAGGGATTCTTGCGGCAGCACGCGCGCAAGGGCGTTCGAACAATTTCGGCATGCGCGCGCGAGAGGCCCATGTGGTAGCATGTTGTGAAAATGCTGCGAACAAATATGTTCCTTGCTCCTCACTTGGTGCTCTTCTGCAGCTCCTGCCGGTCCTAGAACCTGCTCGCCGCAATTAGGCACGTGGCCCCCTGCCCGTTGGGCTTTAGGTCGGTCTTGGCCTCCGTGTCGCTCCACACTGCCCACTCGCCCCCCCCATCCGCAAGGCACCGAAGCCTCGTCCTCCGCCGCACCGTAGCCCCACCGCACCGTAGCCTCGTCCTCCGCCGCCCCGCCCGTCATCCACGCCCAGATAGCTTATGGCGGCGGCTGCTGCAATCCCGTAAATGGTCTCTGAGGGTACGGGCGCGCCTAGACGCGCGAGCGATTGTTGTTCCAAGGATTTCTCTGCCCTGTCGCTGCGCGCAGGGCCGCGACGCCAAGAAGTATGTGTGTGAATGTGTGTGTGAATGTGTGTGAGTGTGTGAATGTGTGTGAATGTGTGCGAATGTGTGTGAATGTGTGTGTACGTGTGTGTGTGTGTGTGTGTGTGTGCGTGCGTGCGTGTGTGTGTGTGTGCGTGTGCGTGTGCGTGTGCGTGTGCGTGTGCGTGTGTGTGTGCGTGTGCGTGTGCGTGTGCGTGTGCGTGTGCGTGTGCGTGTGCGTGTGCGCGTGCGCGTGCGCGTGCGCGTGCGCGCGTGCGCGTGCGCGTGCGCGTGCGCGTGCGCGTGCGCGTGCGCGTGCGCGTGCGCGTGCGCGTGCGCGCGCGTGCGCGTGCGCGTGCGCGTGCGCGTGCGCGTGCGCGTGCGCGTGCGAGTGCGCGTGCGCGTGCGTGTGCGTGTGCGTGTGCGCGTGCGCGTGCACGTGCGCGTGCGCGTGCGTGTGCGCGTGCGCGTGCGTGTGCGTGTGCGTGTGCGTGTGCGTGTGCGCGTGCGTGCGCGTGCGCGTGCGCGTGCGCGTGCGCGTGCGCGTGCGCGTGCGCGTGCGCGTGTGCGTGTGCGCGTGTGTGTGTGTGTGTGTGTGTGTGTGTGTGTGTGTGTGTTGTGTGTGTGTGTGTGTGTGTGTGTGTGTGCGTGCGTGCGTGCGTGCTTGCGTGCTGCGTGCGTGCGTGCGTGCGTGCATGCCTGTGCGCGTGCGCGTGCGTGCGCGTGCGCGTGCGCGTGCGCGTGCGCGTGCGCGTGCGCGTGTGGGTGCGTGCGTGCGTGCGTGCGTGTGTGCGTGCGTGCGTGCGTGCGTTCGTGCGTGCGTGCGTGCGTGCGTGCGTGCGCGTGTGTGTGTGTGTGTGTGTGTGTGTGTGTGTGTGTGAGTGTGTGTGTGTGTGCGTGCGTGCGTGCGTGCGTGCGTGTGTGTGTGCGCGGGTGCGTGTAGGTGTGTGTGTGTAGGTTCGTGTGTGTGTGTGTGTGTGTGTGCGCTGACTTGCCCTCCTCCGCGCAGTCGCGCGAGTGGCCCAAAAAGAAGTGCGCGTGCGTGCGTGCGGCGGCTTCACTCGCTGGTGTGCCGCGGCTGGGCGACCAAATCGCTGCCCCGTCGGAACAGGAGCGGACCCTCCTGCCGCGCCCTTTTGCTGCCCGACGCCTGGCGCAACGCGCGCGCGCGTGCGTAGACCGATGAAGCATGCGAACGCCCGACGGACCCGCTGTTGGCCAGAGTGGCGCCCAAGCACAACCCTGGAACTGCGCGGCCCTGTCGACGCGCAAACCGCGCAGAGTGCCTTGCTGACCGCGGCGGAGCGAGCGCTGGGCGCGCGGCGGGCCCGTCACAGGTGATCACGGACTCGAAGTTCGGAGCTCACGGGATCAGGGCCATCTATGGAGTCGCTGACGTGCGAGAGGGGAGCGCACGCCGACATGCATGGACGCATCGCGGCACTGGGTTGAAGCCCGCATGGGCGAGGTCGCGGCGAGGGCACGCTGCCTTTCCGTGGGGGATCGCATGGCCAACGCGGCTGCGGACCAGTTGGCTGCGGAGGCCGCGGCATGCCACTTGCCGCCGCGTTTGCTGGTCCAAGAGCGGCAGTCGCATCTACGGATAATTGAGGCGGCGCGCAGCGGATGCTCGCATTCAGGGATCAGGCCGCACCGAAGGCAAACCAAGGCCGCAAAAGAACCGCGGCCCCAAGCGCATCGCGCGCAGCGGTGCGCGACGTCGCGGTCAGGGCGCCTGTCCTGCCCAGTCCGCGATGCGCGAAGCTCGGCTATCTTCGCGCCCCTGCATGCGACCGAGATTACAACCCAGGTAAAGGTACCTCAATGCACAGACTGATTGAAAAACTATGGATCCGCGCTCGTGCAACCACAACCTCGAATAACAAATGACTGATCCGCGTTCCCCGGGACACAATCCCTCGCCAAGGCCGCGGTCCCTTGCACAACATGGGTCCGCGCGCGTGCAGTCACGATCCTTCGGTGAGAACGACTGATCCGCGATCTTAGTGAAACCACGCAACCACGATCTTTGTGAAAAGCCATGGGCCCGTTCTCCCGAAAACACGACCCCACTACAAAATGCTTTACCCGCGCTCCAGAGGCCACGACGGCCACGACCCATCGACGACACACTGGGCCCTCGCTGCCGAGGCCGCGAACCTCAACAACAAATGTGAATCCACGCTCCCGAGGCCACAACCACGACCGCGCTCCTAAGGCCACGATCTCTCTCACGCACAAACCATGGATCCGTGCTCGTGCATCTACTCGAACCAGCCAACTCAGCGATGCAGGCTACCAGAGAAGAGGCAAGCTGCAGGGCGCACGCTCTTCAGAAGCATCGCGCGCTCGCTTCGCGCACGCTTTGGTGGTTTAGGTTGCAGCCGCTGCTTTATTTTCACGCCATGCCATCCCTTTATTTTCTCCCTCCTCTTCTGCGGCATCAGGAAAATCATGTGAGACTGGGAGCCACGAGCACACATGTAGCAGCAGACGTGCAGAGTTTCGGGGCTGAGAGTTCGCAACAGAGAGCCAATGTCTGAAGGAAATGCGCATGATTCGCACTGTCACCCTATGATGTGCCAGCTGTTCTCTCTTGGGGCCCTCTAGCTGAGCCATACTTCTTGGAATTATCGCGGGGCTCTTTCGTTCTTACATGAGGCCATGTTGGGGCCACCGTGGGCCTGTTGGGCTGTATGGGGCTCTCGTGGGACCGCCCTGGGCAACCTTAGAGCCACACGAATACGCCGATGTGTGATTCGGCACCTGCCGCGTGAAAACGCCGATTTGGGACTCGGCGTCCTCGAAGGCACCACCTGAAGCGGAAGCGGTATCGGGATGGCCCTTGAGGGGCCTCACTTCCTCGCGCGCTGAGGGTCAGGGCAGCGGGAGCCCGCCAAGAACTCCAACGTGCCTAGTGGATACGCGACCAGCGCCAGGTAGCGATGACAACAATCAACGAATTAGGTACGGCATAGGTGCGCGAAGATGAGTCATAATGCGGAAAGTGGCTCGTGATTGCGCCAATGCCTGGTGTCCAATGATAAGATAACTGTGGTCCCTGGGGAACCCCAGGACAGCTCCAAACAGTTTGATATGGCGACGGAACGCGCAAGACCCGAACTTCGCGTCAATGTCCACCCACATACTCTTAAAACGCGAGTTAGACTACGACAAGTCACAGCCTTCTTGAAAAACAAGCGAAGGAAGCAGACGAGAGGGGCCATGAGGAGGGCGCAGGGAGGAGGGCGCATGGACGCGGGGTGGAGCGAGCAGGGATGAGGGAAGAGGGATGAGCAGGATAGGGCACGGCGCACTCCTGGCAGGACGCACTCCTCGCTGGTCCACATGGCCACCCCGTCCATCTCTGGACACTCGGTGCTATTTCCGTCGTAGTAGATGTTCTCCTTCGGGCACAGGGCCATTCCCAGCTTGACGCAGGCGGCCTTCGCGTCCGCCCAGCTCAAGTTGGACTGGTCGGCCGCCTGTGCACGCAGGCTGCAGTGCAGCAGTGTGCCTTGGCCGATGGTTGTTTTGTTGCAACACATCAGGCCGATCCCTGCCGCGCCTCCCGAGTCGGGCACGCACACGTCGGGGTCCCCACGACTATCGTTCGACCGGCGCCGGGTCACAATATGGCCCGCCACCCCTGCCGCCAGTGGCGCGCCCGTGCTGGGAGGCTGGGCAGGGCTGGGCGCGGCGGGCGGCCCTGGCGGGCTGGGTGAACCTGAGGGGCCCGACACGACGCACTCCTCGCTGGTCCACATGGCCACCCCATTCATCTCTGGACACTCGGTGCTATTTCCGTCGAAGTAGATGTGCTCCTTCGGACACAAGGCCATTCCCAGCTTGACGCAGGCGGCCTTCGCGTCCGCCCAGCTCAGGTTGGACTGGTCGGCCGCCTGCGCGCGCAGACTGCAGTGCTGCAGTGTGCTGTGGCCGATGGTGGTCTCGTTGCAACACATCAGACCGACCCCTACCGCGCCTCCCGAGTCGGGCACGCACACGTCGGGGTCCCCACGGCTATCGTTCGACCGGCGCTGGGTCACAATATGGCCCGCCACCCCTGCCGCCAGTGGCACGCCCGTGCTGGGAGGCGGGGCAGGGCTGGGCGCCGCGGCGGGCGGCCCTGGCGGGCTGGGTGAACCTGAAGTTTCCGGGGACACGACGCATCTCTCGCTTGTCCACATGGCCACCCCGTCAAGACCTGGACAATCGGTGCTTTTGGCCTCGAAGTAGATGGTCTCCTTCTCGCAGAGGTCCAGGCCCAACTTCATGCAGGCGGACTTCGCGTCCGCCCAACTCAGATCCGACCGGCAGCCTGGGCGATGGCCGCCTGTGTGCGCGGATGCGTTGCAACATGTCAGGCCGACCCCTATCGCCTCGGTGTCTGGCAAGCACTCGTCCGAGTCACCCCAGCTCACGTTCGACCGGCGCCGGGTCACAATATGGCCTGCCACCCCTGCCGTCGGTGGGGCTCCAGCGCTGGGCGGCGGGGCAGGGCTGGGCGCCGCGGCGGGCGGCCCTGGCGGGCTGGGTGAACCTGAAGTTTCCGGGGACACGACGCATCTCTCGCTTGTCCACATGGCCACCCCGTCCAGACCTGGACAATCGGTGCTTTTGGCCTCGAAGTAGATGGTCTCCTTCTCGCAGAGGTCCAGGCCCAACTTCATGCAGGCGGACTTCGCGTCCGCCCAACTCAGATCCGACCGGCAGCCTGGGCGATGGCCGCCTGTGTGCGCGGATGCGTTGCAACATGTCAGGCCGACCCCTATCGCCTCGGTGTCTGGCAAGCACTCGTCCGAGTCACCCCAGCTCACGTTCGACCGGCGCCGGGTCACAATATGGCCTGCCACCCCTGCCGTCGGTGGGGCTCCAGCGCTGGGCGGCGGGGCAGGGCTGGGCGCCGCGGCGGGCGGCCCTGGCGGGCTGGGTGAACCTGAAGTTTCCGGGGACACGACGCATCTCTCGCTTGTCCACATGGCCACCCCGTCCAGACCTGGACAATCGGTGCTTTTGGCCTCGAAGTAGATGGTCTCCTTCTCGCAGAGGTCCAGGCCCAACTTCATGCAGGCGGACTTCGCGTCCGCCCAACTCAGATCCGACCGGCAGCCTGGGCGATGGCCGCCTGTGTGCGCGGATGCGTTGCAACATGTCAGGCCGACCCCTATCGCCTCGGTGTCTGGCAAGCATTCGTCCGAGTCACCCCAGCTCACGTTCGACCGGCGCCGGGTCACAATATGGCCTGCCACCCCTGCCGTCGGTGGGGCTCCAGCGCTGGGCGGCGGGGCAGGGCTGGGCGCCGCGGCGGGCGGCCCTGGCGGGCTGGGTGAACCTGAAGTTTCCGGGGACACGACGCATCTCTCGCTTGTCCACATGGCCACCCCGTCCAGACCTGGACAATCGGTGCTTTTGGCCTCGAAGTAGATGGTCCCCTTCTCGCAGAGGTCCAGGCCCAACTTCATGCAGGCGGACTTCGCGTCCGCCCAACTCAGATCCGACCGGCAGCCTGGGCGATGGCCGCCTGTGTGCGCGGATGCGTTGCAACATGTCAGGCCGACCCCTATCGCCTCGTTGTCTGGCAAGCACTCGTCCGAGTCCCCCCAGCTCACGTTCGACCGGCGCCGGGTCACAATATGGCCTGCCACCCCTGCCGTCGGTGGGGCTCCAGCGCTGGGCGGCGGGGCAGGGCTGGGCGCTGCTGCGGGCGGCCCTGGCGGCCCTGGCGGGCCGGCGGGTCCTGCAGGACCAGACGGCCCTGGCGGGCCAGCGGGCCCAGGCATCGGCGCAGGTGCGGTTCCACTGACACGGATGACCGCCGGCAGAGAGGGGACGCTGACCTTGGTCACACCGCCTGGCGGCGCGGGCCCTGCGGGAGTAATTACATATGGTGGAGGTTCCGCACACAAGCCAGCGGCCGTCACCGCCGGTGTGGAGAGGGAAAGGGTGGGGGGATACGAACATAAAGGGATGCCTGAACGGTCTGGGCGTCCCAAATTGTCAAACTGGCTCCAAGATGGCTATACGTGGCTCGAGATGGCATCCAAGATGGCAGAGATTGTCAAAATTGGTTGAAACCGACCTCCTAGATCCTAGATGCCCCAAGACGACCCTTGGTGGGCAGAAATCTCCCCAAGCCTTCCCCCGAAATTTGCCCACGCGCTCCGGCGTATGGCAGTTCGTTCGCTTCCCCCGAAAGGAAGCCAACGTGAACAACGAAATTGACATTCAGTATGTTGGGCATTTCTATCTCAGATGGCCTCGGGAATGCTTACGAAGGCCCCGAGCCGGTCCAAGAACGTTCTTGAAGAGAAGGGCCAAGAAGACTCAACAAGGCCCAAGAGGGCCTCTGAAGAGCCCCAAGACAGCCCAACATGGTGCCAAGACGGCTCAAAAGAACACTCCGAAGTTTAGGCTTCCAACGTGGTCGCACAGCAGCTCGAGGCTTCTACGAAATCGCACGCGTCCTGAAAGCGCGCGATGGGTCGCGTAGAGAGCTATCCAGAGCAGCGAAAGGGGCCGGCCGATGCTGCGCAAGCCAATGAACTTTACTGTCATCGACGGACAGGGCACCTTGTCTCAATACCTGATCCCAGCCAAACCATACAGAGGCACGCTTTGAACGGACTACAGCCAAGCTGCAAATAGCCTGCGTAGGGGTGCTCATGAGAAAAATGTTGTGGTACACCTGTGGCCTGGGATGGACTTGGTACCCACACTCACGTTGATCACCGCAGACCCGGACACAGAGGGCACGTTGACAGAGGTCACGTCTCCCAGCGGCATCTGCTCCGATCCTGCGTGTGCAGAGTTGGAATACGATGCATGCATCCCAAGTATGTATGTCTGTGTGTATTTATGTATTCATGTATGTATGAATGTACGTATATAGGTATGTTTGTATGCATGCGCTACAAAAATATGAACATTCACGGCCCAACATGATGAATGATGTTGCGCCTCGAACTCTGTGCAGTTCAATGAAAGGCGGCGGGTGTCAAATCACGATCCTGGCAAGCTTGATCAGGCCAGACTGGGTCACGACCAGACCATGGGTGGCTGAAGCGTGTCTCTTGTAGTGCACTGGTTGCCTACGGTGCAACTTTAGCGTGGCCATGCGGCCGCGGGATATCCATTGGATGGCTTGCGACGTATATACGGGTGGCGTTGAAATGCTTGTGGGATCCAAGATATGTGCACGCTTACTGTTACACGGTGACCGAGGTAGTCAACGAAATGGTTATGAGATTCACCACCGCGCTTGCGCGATAGTGAAGTATTGGAAAGTTGTCTTGAAGGGCTTCTTTAGTGTTCCAACGGCGACCCTCCCTCTGTGGCGCACTCGTGATTGGAATTCCGCCCTCCCTAGGTCTGCTCTCAGGCTCCCTTTTCGGCACCTAGATGGTTCCAACACGGAGAAGACAGCCCCAAAACAGCTGTAACATGTGCGACAGCCAACCCAAGCACAGCCCAGGGGCCCCCCGAAGGCTTCAACATGTCCACACTCTAGAAGGCCCCTAGACGTCCCAAACCGAGAGGCGCTCAGGGAGGCCTCCCGCGAGGCCATGGGAAGCAAAAGACAATGCACTACTTTGAGAGTTTGAGTGCATGTGCGTCGAGTGCCGTCCAGCTTCAATTTGTTCCATCTGGCATCCAGAACACCACCGTGCACCAGATATCGGGATTCTGAGTGACCAATTGATCGAAAACCTTATGAGGATTTAAATCCACGCGGTCCACAGCCGGATCCGTAAAAAACGTAATTACGAGTGCTTCGGACTGAAGTTTGAAGATCCTTCTGTGTTTGTTGGGTTCAGTGTCGGCACTACTCGTGCTGTGTCTTTGTCCCCTCATAGGAAGACTGGCAATATTTTTCGTGCTGCTATGTTGTGTGTTCTGTTTCCTCGTTTCCAATCGTGTCACAGCAACCGCCCGCTCTCGGAAAAAGTTGGATCCGTGCAGGGTTTGCTCGTCCAATGCATCGACCGCTGCATGAATGTTGATCCCGTTCCCCACATCGCAAGTCTCATGCTCGAGTTGAAGTGTCTCGAGTATCCCTGGGAAGCTCTCCAGCGTGCTGTTGACAGGGTTTGTTCCAAGCATCCTTATTTGTCTTGCGTCCGGGTTGCGTTGACAGCAGCTCAAGAGAAGTGGTCACGCAGCAATGATCCACGTGCGGAGTAAATCTCAGCCTGAAGGCACCTGCGCGTGGTTGGCGTATTGCTCTCCCCTTTTTCGTGGGTCTGTCATTGTTGTTGCGCTGCTTCTCCCCCCTCCCCTTCCTCCTCATTTGCATGTTTGTATGTTCGTGCTGTTTCGTGCTCTCTCACATATGTGTACAACCATATTCAGCGAGTGACTCTTGCTAAGTCATCCGGCCGTACTCGTGACGCAAAAGCATACTGATTGCTGCGATGTGGCTTCCATTGTCCCCGTGCTTGTACATATCAGCGAAAGTAAGTCGAGCCGAATTCACGCATGTAATTTGTCTGCAGGTGTTTTACTTGTCTGTATGTGTCACGCTCGCATGCGCATTCGCACTGTTGCCATCTGCTCAGGCTACAGCTCGATGAAGTAGCCATCTCATCCTCATCCTCATCCTCATCCTCATCCTCATCCTCATCCTCATCATCATCATCATCATCATCATCATCAGCATCATCCTCATCATCCTCATCATCCTCATCCTCATCCTCATCCTCATCATCATCATCATCATCATCATCATCATCATCATAACCATCATCATCATAACCATCATCAGCATCATCACGAGAAACGCCAACTTCGGCCTCACAGCAGTCCCAAGACGGCTTGACAACCGCTCAAGACGGCCCAAGAAGAAACACAAACGGGCCTCAACACCGGTCGAGGCGTCGGATGGTTCAACCGAGCTTCTTCGGACGAGCTTTGTGGAACCATCGCGCCCAAAACGGCTCCGAGACATCCGAGGGCCCCCAAGAGGGCCTAAGGAGCCCCGAGGAACCCCGTAGGAGCCCCGAACAAGTGCCCAGGAAACCTCCAAGATGAAGGAACATGGGGATAACGAGGCTGCAGACCAGGCAAGGATGTGGCAGACCTGCTCCAGCTCAGACAGGGCACTAAACTCGAACCGATCTAAAACTCAGCCCCTTTCCAGCTGCGGTGCTACACTGGCGCGGCGGCAAAATCTGCCTCAGGCAGCTGGGAATACACAAGGCAACCGAATTGCATCCCGGGGGCAGCAATGTGTGCCTGTCGGGTATCGAACTATGAGGTACCTGGAACCTTCCCCCTGGGTACCCCTGGCCTGCGCAAGGAAGATATGAAACGTCGATGTCGATGATGTCTCGGCGCCAAACGTTTCCAATGCCGCCAAAAGTCAGCAACATATGATTGCTGCTGCCCATTTGGAGTTGCCTGCCTCCAGCACTCCAAAACTACAATTGGAACGCATGTGATCTAAGCCCTCTTGAAACAAAAGGCGAGAAATATAGCTAATGAGCAGGACCCGCCAACGTGCCTCAAATTTTTCATTTGGTTGTTCTATGTGATTCGTGTCCTCTCCAAGACGGCCCAGGAAACCACAAACATCACCCCAAGACGGTGCCAGAGGCTGCCGGAACCGCCCGAAAACGGCCCAAGATGGCCCCCAAACGGCCCCACGTCCAAGAGGCCCCCATGGTTCCCGAAATGGGGAACACCAACCGGCATTGCAAGCCTTCCGCTCTAAGAGGCCTGCAATAGCCCCCACCCCAAGAGGCCCCCGAGCAGCCTCCAAGATGCCTCCACGAGCCCCAAGAGCACTCCCAAGACAACCCTAAAAGGGCAACATCAAGGATGTTCCACAATTGCTTGGACGATTTTCGCCGTCGCCGTGGCCGCTGCCGTCACCGCCGCCGCCGGCGCAGCCGCCGCCGCCGCCGCCGCCGCCGTCGTCGTCGTCGTCGTCGTCGTCGTCGTCGTCGTCGTCGTCGTCGTCGTCGTCTTCGTCGTCTTCGTCGTCCTCACTCAGGGTCGGCGGCACCAGCCGCAAGACCTTCGCAATATACCGAGCAAGACCCGCCAGCGCGCCGCAGGATTTTAACATAATTGTTATACCTACCCGTTACGAAAGTTATTCATCTTGAACACTGACGACTACGGCGTCTCCGAGTGGCCCCCCCTCCCCCCCGTAGACTCCTAACACGGCAGTCTTCGGCCTGGCTTGGCGGGAGAGATTTTCGGGGTTCTCCCTGGTACCACTAATAGTATATAACCAATTCAGGATAAAATCTCTCCCCCGTAAATTCACGAGGGAGAAATCACTCCCGGTCACTTCCAGGCAACTCTGAATCTCTCCCCGCATGAAACCACAAGGAAGAATCACTCCCATACCACTTCTCACCACAGCGCCCGCACATGTCAATGTTAGCCAAGATGAATTAACTTTCGTAACGGAGATGAATGTGTTTCGTGTCCTCGTCTTTTGCACTTTTGGCATTCCTCGACGGCCAAAAAAAAAACGCCAAGGTCACCCCCAACGGTGCCAGAGGCTGCCACAAACGCCCGAAAACTGCCCCAAACGGCCCAAGACGGCTCCCAGGCAACCCAAGAGGCCTCAAAGACGGCCGAATAAAGCATCAAGAAAGCCTCTGGCAAAAGGCTCCCGGGAAGGGGAACACCGACCGACGTTTCGAACCTTCTGCCCTACTTGTTGGACCGCTGGTTTACGAGGAATCGAACCAGTTGTAAGCGCATTACAACTGCAGTACGTTGATTGGTTGCAACGTCGTGACGATCTGACTAGCCTAATATACGAGCACCCTTAATCCAGATAGCTGAGGACCACAAAGGGACCTGAGGACAGGCCCACTCCATGCAGGGTCGCGGTTGTGCGTATATATGTATGTATGTGTATCATATATATATATATATAAATATATATATATATATATATATATATATAATATATATATATATATATATACACACACACTAGAACCATCGCGCGCGCTTCGCGCGCGTTTTGGTTCTAACCGAGGTCAAGGACACATCGAATCAAACTTCGTCAAAGCGCGTCAAAAAAATCGACGGAAGACTCGGACAAACATAACAGAGTTCGTCCTTAGCGCTCGCGCTGCTTAGCGTCCTTGGCGTTCGCGCTGCTCTCTGATCGACTAAAATCAGCTTAAAAAAAAACATGGGACCGAAAACCGAAAGACCTCGTCGAACCTCGATCCTCGATTGATCGGTCCTCGACCGGCGCCTGCGACGGCGAGCGCGACGACGGCGGAGGCGACGACGACGACGGCGGCGACGATGATGACGACGACGGCGGCGGCGCTGACGACGGCAAGGGCGACGACGACGACGGCGGCGCCGCCGCCGTCGCCGTCGAGGTCGTCGTCGTCCCTGCGCGGGGGGCGGGCCGCGGGGGGGTTCTTGGAGTCTCTTAGGGCCTCTTGGGGGGATCTTCCCCTCCATAAGCCCTCGCTGGGTTTGGCCTATTGGGGGGATCTCTTGGGGGCCTCTTGGAGCCTTTTAGGGGCCTCCAGGGGCCGCCTGGGACCTTCTTGGGGCGGAAGGGTCGGATTTCGGGTCGGGCCCCCCCTCTCGGGCTCCTCTTGGGGCCGTCTTGGAGCCCTGCTAGGTCGTATTGAGGCCCTCTTGGGGTGTCTTGCCCCCCTCTCGGGACGTCTTTGGAGCCTCTTGGGCCGTCTTGGGACTCTCTTGGGGGGCCTCCTGTACCGTCGTCACCGCTGTGAAGACCTACAAGTCGCGGATGTTAAGAATATACGTTTTCCTATGCAAAATCAACGATTTGGGCTTCTTGGGA